ACTCATTTGTATACTAAGAAATTAATGAGTTGACTAGACCCCCGCCCCCCCCCCCCCCCCACCCGTGGCACAGCGGTTTGTCTGCGGACTTACAACGCTAGAAACCTGTGGTGGACAGAGCACAGAGTCAGTCTATTGAGTAGCTTTGTGTTTAATTTCAAACATCAAAGGAGTTGACTAAATATATAGACAATAACACAATACCAAACTGAAAAGATATGCAATATATTTATAACATACCATGGTCTTATCCGTTAAATTCTTATTTCTATCCTTTTATTACAGAATAAAAATAAGTGTTCAATCACTAGAACAGAGCACAGTTATTGAAAACTAAAGAAACAGCATATCTTATGATTTTTTAAACCGAACCAAAAATGGTGTATAATATTATGTTGACGTTAATTACTTTTCTTCAAAAAACTATTTATCGATTCATTTGACGGAATACGTAATTTAATCGTAAAATATAACATGAACATAAGTGTAAAAGACAAATTTAATTAAACGGTTTTGATTATCAGATATTCCACCTTCAAAATCCTTTCTCCCTATACTGCTAAATCACGAACAGAGTTCTGATTAAAAGAGGAAATGAATATTAAAGCTTTATTTACTAAAATCGGGGTTCAAAATTATGTAAATAACAGGGTTTTATACTGAACTTACGTATCCGAGCCAGGTAATGAATGTGACTGCGGGTGTAGAAATGGTGCAACTGGAACAAAATAGGAGGATGGCATACTTCAAGAAGAAGGGAAACCAGGAAAGAACAAATATACCCACTACAATTCCAAGTACATGGACTGCGCGGCGTTCCTGAGACAGAGGTATCTTTTTTCTTCGTTCCATGTACTACTTTACAGTCTCTGGTTGTTGTGCATTATTAAATTTAAATGTGTTCTACTACGATTTGTTTTTTATGTTTATTTTATTTATAATCTGGTCTTTTTGTATTGTTTATATAATGTTATCGTTATAATTATCTTTTACACATTACTAAAGACAGAATCTCTGAAATACCGAAACGTTTAATTAAATGTTTTTTGTACTTACGCTCACGTTACCATTTGTGTTCAATCATGTGTTACTGAACCCATTTAAAATTTTGTATTGATAAAGTCATTGTTAAATGAATTTGTGTTTTTTATATTAAGTGCTGACTTCTGGTTGTACAAGAGACATGTGTTAACAAGCTAATAGCTCTATCACCAGGCCTATAGATACACTTTATTTATGATAATAAAAGGGCGTTTTTTTGTGAGTGTGTGTGTGTGACCACCATAACTTCAAGACGAAAGAACCTAGAATCCTGAAATGTTGCACCCATATTAAGTGGATCCTGAGAGTTTGCACCTGGGTATTATTACTTACCTTATGTACATGTGTGCGCGCGTGCGCACCTTTTTAATGAGACAAGCTAGCGAAACACCACGTAGAAAAGAAATGTTTTTATGTTTGTAGGAAATAAAAGTGTTTAAACTATCTGTGCCTGTTTTTCTATGCTAAAATAAGTTCAGAATACTCACACTGACATAGTCATCTAGAATAAATTAATCATACTTTGGGATTCGCTTATTACATTATTTTCTTCTTTTTTTTAAATATGGTAAGAACGAATTTAAGTTTTTATAATGATTTAATGCATACATTAAGCACAAGGAAATAGAAGAAAAAGGGTGAATGCGGTAACTTACGAGTTTCCTGTACTTAAATATAATTCATAATATAGAAAGAAAGAAATATTTCTAGAGTTATAAAATTATCCTTTCTTTTACTAGAAATAAGATGGAAGTTTAAAGCACTACATTATAATTAATATTAAAATCTCAGCAAAGTATTAATAATCTTTACTCACCGTAGAAACCTTATTCTCTTAGAATGTTCCATTTAGGAGAGTCACTTGATTTAAGTCAAAATTAAGATAAGCCTTTCTCAAAGTTAGGTTTACGTAAAAGAGTACTTTTTGAGCCATTAAGACTTAATTATTATAATTGCCAAAAAAAGTGCACATTTTATGTATACAACCGTTTGAAGTTTGTACTTTCAAAAAATGCCCATAAATTTAATTAAGCCGAAGTGAACGTGGTGCTTTAGTCAACAGCAATCGAAATTGAAGTTTGGTTTTGCTGGTTCTTTACCGTAAAGCTAACAATGATATAAGCTTAGGCGGTTCTGAAAGGGAAGAATAATACTATTAGCACTATTAAACATGGATTTCTTAGTGTCACTCTACCTAACGGAATATCAGGAGCCATTAACTGTCATAACTAAGGTGAATTTGGAAAACTAAATTAAAATTCAAACTTACCGTAAACGAAAGTAGCAGCGAAGTAAAAATACCTCAGTTTAATAATCATGGTAATATAATAGCATATATATGTATATAAACAAAAAT